TAACACACAAAAATTAGTAAAAATTATGGGATTTGAGTAAATCCTAGGGTTTTGATAAAAACAAGATTTAACCACGAAATTTGTTATGGAATGAAGTAGAAATTAGATATTATTGATCCTTAGGGTATGGATAACAACTTTCTTCAAAATTTTCTGGAATCCGGGCACGTGGGCCCGGGGTCGAATTTTAGTAATCTTGTAATTTGGATTGGGGAATCACCCTAGTGGTTGGGATATGAACTTTTAAGCCTACATTGATTGGTTCCTACTCTATTGGGATAGTTTTGGAGTGTTTGGCACCAAATTGAGGGGTTGGGCTTAAGCTTGGACCGGAAAGTACGCTTTGGAGTGAGGTGAGTCTCCTTTCTAACCCTGTAAGAGGGAAATGTCCCCATATGTGAGTTAATTAATCATGTGTTGCTAATTGTGGGGTCTACGTACGCACGAGATGACGAGAGTCCGTGCGTAGCTACTATTATGTTAATTGTCCAGGTAGTTTAAGACCCGTATCATGCTAATATATGCAAATGTATATATCCTTTTATGTTAATGAGATCGCTTAGGACATGTTAGGGGTTGGAAACAAATGTACGAGAATGTATGCACTTACTTGAAAACTTGTATGAATTTATGTGACTATGAATACGCCTTATGTGCCGTCTTGATGATAATTGATATTCCTCGGTAGAAATAGATGCATCTATGGTTCGCACCATTCGACCACCTGACAGTGCACATTTCCTTTTTATGTTGGACCGGACCGTACGACCTCGGCATGATGTGCGCATGACATTTATGTGAAATCTTATTCATGACTTACTCTGATAAATGCCTTGAATTGAAATCATATAAGACATGACTAGAATTGATATATATTGATCTCTGTAAACTCTAAGCTTGTTATTTGGCCTATATTATCCATGCTTAGTGAAATCTTAAATCATTATTGGTATTGACCTTAGTAAGTATCATGTCGACCCCTCGTCACTACTTCTTCGATGTTAGACTGGATACTTACTGGGTACATGTTGTTTATGTACTCATACTACGCTTTTGTACTTAATTGTACAGGACCTGAGGCAGGTACATCTGGCTATCGGTCTGGTGCGCATTCTTGATAGAGTCTCGAGATTCCACGGTGAGCTGCCCTTCTCCCACATCGTTCAGCAGCGTGATGGAGTCTCTCTATACTTTTGGGTTGTCTATTCTAGTTCAGACAGTAGGATAGATTTACTCTTTTGTGTATTCTACTAGATGCCCATATACTTGTGACACCAGGTCTTGGCACACACATTAGTAGACTATTCTTTTGGTTTGTATAATCATTATCTTACATTGCTGATTATCACTTATTTATGATTTGAATGAACAAATTGTCAGAACTGTTTCGGAAAAGTAAAACGAGAATTCACTAATATGTAGAGTTGGCTTGCCTGACAACGATGTTGGGCGTCATCACGACCTATAGCTAAATTGGGTCGTGACAGAAGTAGACTTAGAGAATATTTTAAAAGATGCGATGAATTTGGCCTAAGAGAAAGAAAGGTTCCTAAACCTTGTCCAACTAGATGGAATTATATGTATGAAAGTTTAGTTGTTGCATATGAATATAGAAACCCCATAAACTCAACGTTTAATGCTCATGTAAGTGATAATGATAAATGCGGATTGGGCTAATGTTAAAATGCTTGTAGATTTTTTAGAAAAAATTCATTCTACGAATAAATTTTCTTGGCAATATTATCCTACTATTTCTAACTATTTAGTTTATCTTGTAGAACTTCCAAATTTTGTTTGCTTATTTTTCAGAGGGTGGGGAAATTTATGAACAAGCTATTGATTCTATGAGAAAGAAATTTAAAAAATATTTTTTCTCTATTCCCCCTATTTATGGTGTTGCTGCCTTGTTAAATCCTACTATGAAATTAGTAGGTCCTCAGTATTGGTATCAATCTATTTATAATGGTTTAGCACTTGAAGATGAGGAGTTGTCTACACTTCCGGACGCACAAGCCTTAATTAAAATAAATGCTCAAACTATTTATAGTGCTTATCAAATTGCAATAGATAATGCTAGACCAAATGTTCCAACTCCTTCTTCTAGTTCTCAATCATCTAAAAGAATTGTGGGAGTAAGAGCACTTACTGTTTGGGCCGGATTCAGGGGTTCTCAAGGTTCTAGTACTAGTGATTCTTCACAACTAAATGAGCTTGAAGTTTATTTGTCACAGGGAATTGAGGAAGTGAATCCCGACGGCTCATTTAATCTTTTGGAGTGGTGGAAGGACAAAGGAAAACAATTTCCGATTCTTTCAAGGATGACCCGAGATATTTTAACCATTCAAGCTTCAGCAGTGGCATCGGAGAGCGCTTTCGGTCAAGCAAGACTTCAACTCGGTGATTATAGAGTGTCTATGAGGGAGAGCTTAGAAAAATCAGTACTTTTCAGAGATTGGATCCGTTTGGAACGAAGAAATTTTGGACTCGCTGAATCACAACCAGAGGTAGACGAAGTTTACGAAGAAATGCTAGCTGAACTTGCGGAGGATGCAGCTTCGCCCGGAAGCGGTGGTGAACAAGCTTCTTTTCCGCCACCACCAACGAAAATTCCTCCGAACCTTGAAGGATTTATGAAATTTGTAAAAGATACCATGCAAAATAAATATGTAACTTGTATTTTGGCACATCTTGATTAGTTTCTTTTTCTTCTCAATGGTGGTATTAGCACCTTGTTGTGCTCATTCCATGGGGGGAGGAAGACTAAGAAAGATATTGCCATATTTTGTTGATGCTAAAATAAAAATTATAATGCATTGCTTTGAATATCTCTTCACAATATTTTTGTGTTTAAATTTGAATTCACAATTCTATAATGTAGTTTTTACAAGGAATTGCCTGAGATAACAAATTTTTGAACCGTTGGGCCCACTTAGGCCCAGGACCGGCCCACTTAGCCCGGGACCATTAGTTCGTGGTCTCGGTCCGATTCCTACCAAAAGCCCACGAAGCCTGGGACCGTTTAAGCCCGGCCCACGAAGCCCGGGCCCACGGGGCCCGTTTAGGCCCCGGCCCGGCCCACATTACACCCTTAGTTCGGGTGAACCCCCTTCTACTCCCCTGAATCCGCCCCCGGTATGCCGAATTAGTTGTCTCTGTATGACCTATAGGTCACACGTTCGAGCCATGGAATTGCATCAGGATAGGCTGCCTACATCATACCCCTTAGGGTGCGGCCCTTGCCCGGACCTTGCTTGAATGCTGGATGCTTCGTGTATTCCTTTTGGTGTGCGGAATTAGTATGCTATGTTTAAACTGTTTGGGGACTTTTTTTTTCCCTGGTCCTTTTCTTTGTCAACATGGCTACATCAAGTACTCCATTGAATAGGAAAGTAACTGGAGATGAGCCCCTCCAATGAATAGACCAGTAAGTGCAAAACAAACCGTTTGATAAATTGATGCAGCCGCAGACTATATAAGAGAACAAAGAACAAACAACTTGAATATGCTTATCCTTATTGACAGTCTTCAAAGAAGGATCCTGGGTTGAGGGGGCCCTAAAATTCATCAGCTACGTACAGGTGACCCTTTCCTACTTAACCCTTCTATACTAGAAATAGAAATAGAAATAGCAGCAGTAGAAAGAACTCCAGGTTATTCAGCTTATCAAGTTACAGGAGTTTCGCCCTCATGAAGTAAGACTAGGATCCTCTATTTAGTTGCAGCAGCCACTTAACCACCAATAAAAAGATTTTAAAAAAGAATGGGGGTTGGGGGGGTTTAAGGTACCCCAATAATCCCGTGGTATGGCGAGCTGTGCAGCAAATGGACTCCATGCAGCTAAAGTATTTCCTATGTGTCTAAAAACAATGACATTAGTGAATTAGGAAATTGTCTGTGTAGAAATAGGGAGGTGAGAACATGAAAGGTTCAGTTCCCCCTTTTTGTTGGATAATTGTAACATGAAAGGTACAGTTCCCTTTAGTATCTAGATTCTATTCAACTGTCCACCTTCTTTTACCTTTCTTTGGTTCGAGGAGACTTTTTGTGATTACAAATAATACAACAAATGGAAGCACATTTACAAGGTCTAAATGGATGGCTCTTGTTCAAAAGCATAACTGCAGAAGTGCATAAGAGAACTGAGGAATAGAGGTTACCACAAGAAAATTTGGCCCCTATAATTTCACATGAATGTTACCATGATACACAACACTGATTACTTGGGAAAAAGAGACTACCTAATGTTTATAAAGGCAGAGAAAATTTTTATATCATCCTCCCAGTTAGATGTTTAAGACATCTTTTTCTTATATGACCAGGAAATCCATCTTGGGCCAACCCTTAGGACCAACAACAACAAAACTCTGGGATAATGGGCCCACCCCTCTACCTTTCTCCACTTAAATGCCAGGCTTAGTTCGCACGTATTCCTCGGGTTTCAAACCTTTGCCACTTGAACTAAAGCCCTGAAGCAGATGACATCTTATTCTTATGGTTGATGGAAATGGTTACCTGAAAGACACAGATAAGCTTTATCCAACTGAAGACTCTCTGTAGATTTGCCTTATTTAATGCGGTCGTGCTTATATAAGTGGCTGAACTGTTCGACCAATGATAATTTAAACTACCATGTGACGCGAGTATATGACCACCTGAGGAAGTGCTAACAAAACATCTGATTTGAGCAAGGAAATTGTAGAATTCAGAGAAACTCAATTGACAGTTGACTCATGAAATAGGGAGGTGAGAACATGAAAGCGAACAGTCAGCGTTTATCTAATAGCAATCTGCCTCCTTTCCCAAGACACATAATCACATTGCAAGCATTGTTCTTTTTTGATAAAGTAATAAATTTTATGTATTAATATTTGGGCAAACCAAACGTCAGTACAAAAGAAGTATACCAAAAAAAGTAGAAAACCTAACAAAAAGATACTATTTTCTACTAACGATCGCAAGCCTTCACAACATCACTCCAAAGAACTGAACACACTTCACCGGGGAGTTCATAAATGCATTAAAATAATAGATAGCAATTTGTCTATGAACATCATTGTTTCCATTCAAATTTTCCAAGTATACAAAGTGCAGAAAGACATGTTCACTTTTTATAAATGAACAGCTGGACATAACAAACTTCACTATTAAACTAAAACTTCAATATAAAGAATGAAAATCATGAATCATGATTAAACAAACTGCATGATACGATAAACATTATCTTACTTTTACTAGGTACCAAGCGTTAATGTTCAACTCTTGAGTTATGTTGCATGCTGACAGCTTTGGCATCCGGCTTCCTGCATATCTTAAGTTTGTCTGAGAATCAAGCTTTCACAGGCTAATCATCATCTTCAATGTCCCAAGTCAAATCCTCATCATCCTCTTCAACACTAAGCCTCTTCCTCAAATCAGCTCTATTGGAACTTGCAGCATGAGAAGTTGCCTTTTTGTCGTCATTACCCTCAATGTCTTCAATCTCAGCCCAATCCAAGTCCTCCTCATCAGCCCCCGTCTTTTGACTTGACACTATAGAGACATCACCACCTTTACCAGATTCATCCTTATCACCTTTCCCCTCTGAACCTATTGCCGCCCTCTCCTCCTTCTTATCCAGAGAAGTAACTTCAGGGTCTTCTTTCTTACTATCTTCGCTATTCCCCTCCTTCTTACTCAAAGAAGTAACTTCAGAGTCCTCTTTCTTACGATCTTCGCTATTCCCCTCCTTCTTACTCAAAGAAGCAACTTCAGAGTCCTCTTTCTTACTTTCTTCGCTATTCCCACTCGATTCTATGACATGTCTCTTGCCAGCACCATCTGCATTAGACTGATTCTCTTCTTTCCTACCAACAGTAGCTGAACTTAAAGTTTTTGATTCACCACTATGAGCAACATGTTTAAAAACATTGGTTGAATCCTCTTTGCTTGGTTCACTTTTATCCGGAAGCACTTCCTTTGCAACCTTAGCCGAGTCTTTATTAGCAGATTCATTCTCAGCCGAAGCCAATTTCTTTACATCATCAACGGATCTTTCAATAACAGATGAACCCTCTTTTCCCTGCTCATCAACTTTCGATTTGGCATTGCTCTCTTGTTCATTATCATCATCATCATCAACATCCCAAGACAATTCTTCATCATCATCATCTATAGATATTGCTCTCTTCACAAGCTTAGCTCTAACACTCTCTTGCTGCTCAAGCTTGTACACTCTATAAAAATAACGATACCAAAACGTCTCATGATCAACTTCATTAGGCACAACCCTTTTGTAGATACCTTCTAAAGATCCAATTTTTCCAATCAAGTTCTCAACTTCCTCACTTTTCTCCTTCAAATCAAACCCTAATTTCCACTTCTTGTACTCCTCTAAATCCTCAGGCTCCAAACAGAACGTATTTGGGTCATTTTGGATATTAATCAATTGAGATTCGAACCGACTGTACCGGGCCGAGTTCAAGACCCGATTTTGGTCAGGGGTTTCGGGTTCAACATCATCAGAGGATGCTAAAAGGGAATCTTTACCTTGTGAAATAATCTCAGCCGTAGATTTGATGACGCCGTCAATAACCTCGATAGAATTAGGAAGATCCTTAACGGCCCGACTAGCTACTTCACGGAACAATTCGGTTTCTTTTTTCAACCCGGATCCGAATTCCTGCAGATCCTTGCGGTATGTCTCGAGCACTGATTCGGATCGAGTTGACAACGTCTTGAACAGACCTCCGAAGCTCCAAACACCGCCGTCACTACCGTCGGCAGCTGGACCGGATCCTGAATAGGGTTTGTGATCCGGGTCATCGTCGACGTCATTGTCAGGGGTTTCGTGTGATTGTTCAGTTGTAGATTCTTGAGGCTTTTTGGGTATTGGGGAGTCCGGATCCGGATCATCAGATAAGATAGATTTGAAGAAATTCATAGCTCAGTGTATCGATTTGGAGGGAAGAGTTTCGGTGGAGGTGATATTCACTTTGCTTTTTCTTTCAGTCGAAGTGTCAATTTCTTGAAGATGATGTTTTCCGCCAGTTGGCAGTTCCCAACTCTCTGACGAAACTTCATTGCTGGGCCTACTTTGCTTTGGACTCGCTCTTTTGTGATTTAGTAGAAAAATTCAAAAATAGTCAGATTTACAAGTGGTAATTGAAAAATAGTCACAATTCTAAAAGTAATTAAAATTTTGCCATTTTATATGTAAAGATAAATCTGACCAAAAATACTGTTCAAAATCCGGAAAATACTCTATCATAATATACTGGAATTTCTCTACAATATACCGGTCCAGCATAATATGCTGGAAGTTCATACATAGGTGCTCCAATCTCTAGTATATTATGCTGGAACTTTTCGCATGTTGGAGTTCCAACATAATATGCTGGAAGTTCATACAGAGGTGCATCAATCTCCAGTATATTATGCTGGAACTTTCCATGTTGCAGCAAAATAATGGCCATTTTTTAATGACTTTGCAAACGCTGGCTATTTTCTAATTACCAGTCCGAACTGGCTAGCCCGTGCAAATAGCACGTGATTTACTAAACTACTTTTACATTATTGGGAATGAATAATTTAGTTTGATTGATAAAATGAATTTTTACCTCCTATAGCAAAGGTTAACATCTTATTTATTTTAAATAAATACTATTTAAAAAAATTATATTCTATAGATACCTTTTAATTTTTATAGCAAAATAACTAATTTTGGTTACTTGCTACTTCTAAGCCACTAAATACGCTATTCAGTTACAATATTTTCTTTCTCTCTCTACTTTAATACAACTTTTACCTTAGATTTCTCATAAAGAGCTCTCAAATTCCTTCACCCACCATCGCCATTTTAGTATAAGGATAAAACGAAGAAGAGCTCACTGAGTACGAAAATTAGAGGGAAAGAGCTAGGAAATTAGGATTTTATTTGATAAAATTCTCCATTTGTGGTATGTATATATAATTTCGGTCATTGCTGAAGACTCTAAAGATTCTTCTTCCTTTGTATGGAACCCTTCCGTTGCAATTACAATTGCAGAAGAAATCCTTACATCTCCCTGTTTGTATAGCTATGGCGAAGAACAGAAACAAGAATAAGAAAAATGGTCGTGCGGACAAGACGGTCACGGGTCCCCAAGCAGTGTTTGTAATTTCTGCAACCGAAATTGAATCCAAAGGAGATGAAGCCTCCGATCGACGGCGGCGTGTGAACAGTGAGATTCAGGGTTTTTGCTCGACGGCGGATTCGCCGGAAATTAGGGTTTGTTCTTGAACAAAGACGACGGAGTTTGAGGCTGAGCAACTTGATTTTCTGTTAATATATTTTAATGTTTTTTCAACGTATCACGCTGTATTTTCATGTATTTCATTGTATTCATTGTCTTTTTTTTATTGTAATTCACTGTATCTCGTTGTATTCCATGTATTTCATTGTATTCACTGTCTTTTTTTCTCATTATATTTCAATATATCCCGCTGTATTCTATGTATTTCATTATATCCATTGTCTCGCTATATGCCATGAATGTATTCATATATTTTTTTAATTAATATAATTTACGTATTCAGATGTATTATATAATTTCTCTGAAGATTGCTATGCTTATGGGGTATTTTTCGGTTGAGAATCTTTTTTATAAACAAAAATATAAAATTTGTGTGCTATAATTGAGTTTGTTGAGTTATATTAGGAGTCTATTATGTTAATTGATTCACTTTCCATTTTAAAAATAGTGTAATCCCCTATTTCACGCCGTGAATACAGTCGAATACAATAATCTGTCTAGCTGTAATCCCATGTTTCACTCCATGAATACAGTCGAATACACTCGAATACAACAACTGATTAGCTGGACTTCCCTGATTCACGCCTATTTTTGCTACTGTATTCATGAATACAATAGCTTAAATATATCAAATACATCTTATAACCACATAAAAGATATATATAATCCGTAATATAGCAAATGATATCTATAAATAGCTAATTACTACTAAAAGATAGTGCTTTATAAAAATTTCCCTTGATAAAAGCCAGATTGCCACAGACAAGGTGATGCACCAGGTAACCAACCACCCGTAGCACCCCTGTTTAAAACTTATCCAATTTTTAAATACTATTTAAAGTCTAATCAATGTTAGCAAACTTCAGATTGTCTCCTACTGCTGTTGCTGCTTAGCTACGAGTATGAAGTTGGTGTTAGGAGGTGTCATGCGGAAGCTAACAAGTAAACTTTGAGCGACGATAAATCAGATAATAAAAGAGAAATATATCAAAAGAGACACAAACATTTAACGTGGTTCGGTCAACTGACCTACGTCCACGGCGGGATGAGCAATCCATTATAATAAAAAGAGAGTACAAAATATCGAGAGAACAACTTCACAAAGAGTCAAACACAAGTAATACACTAACACTTGTCCCGTAAAGTTCTCCCCCTAAACACAACTCTCAACTCTATATGGCTACATTGTGGATGCTACTGAATGAGAAGGGCGGATCCTTAATTTATAGTTCCAAACCTTTTCCTACAAGAAAAGGGACTAGCCAGATATGGAAGAATTATATTTTCAGGAAAAGATTTAACCCAAATATGGTAAATATGTTATCCTTTCCTTCATGAAATAGAAAAACCAATTATGATAAAAAAATCTCCACAAACACCTGACAGTTGGGCTTTTGAGGCAGGAGAACATCATATGTTTTGAAGTTTGAAATATCGAACCCTCGATTTCAATTTCAGTTTCACATGTTGAATTTGATTATGAGGCAACTAAATTTAAAACAAATTTATAAATTTCAATTATTCCTTTAATAGGAGTCCTGAAAATGGCTATTTATGCACTTTGCCGACAAACAAATATAAATGAAGCCTACTAAATTTTCTTGATTTATTTGTTATATACTAGTCTTAGAGCCCGTTTGGACATACAAAAATTTTCCCTTTTTCCAAAAAAAATTTGAAACTAATGTTTGGTTATCAAAATCTTAACCATTTTTTCAATTTCACTTGAAAATGCATTTTCAAATGAAAATGGGAATTTGCTAGTTTTTAATTTTATAAATTTTACCCTATATTTTTAAAATTTATAAAGAACCCCATCATATTACAACCAGGATTATTTTATTGAGCACTTGAAGTGCTTAGAGACTGGAAGGAAGCACAAGCATCGATACCTCATGAGATTGATGTCTACTCTGAGCAAGTCGTGATTACCCAGTTGCAATTCGTCACGGAAAAGTACCGTATCGATGATGACCAAGTGCCTGTACTGTGCCTCGCTTGCTTGACCCCAGCTTTCGTAAGGTGTTCGTCCATATGGCCAGAAGTTTCAAGCTCAATGGGTTAAGGACTTGCAGTAAATTTGAGCAATCTGTGATTGTAATTTGTTATGTTGTACTCTAATGTGATGAAACACTTAAACTTTATTATTTAAGTAGTACTTTACTTAGGTGTTAACGCAGAGTGTGATATTCCAACATGACGTTCTCTCTGTGTGTTAGTAGAATTAGAAAATGTGATATTGATTTTACATTTTCTGTGTATTGCAGTAAAGAATATGATAACAGTTAAACAATAGCATGTTTTATTGTTTATTTCAAGTAGGATAATCAAATTGGGGTGGTTTTGATATTTTTTACAAGTTGTGGGGTATAAATCATGTTTCATGATTTTGAAAAAAAGACATCCAAATATGTTGCAAAAATTATAACCAAACACAACTTCATCTCAATTCAATGAAATTCCAAATTTGATTTTTTTTTTTTTTGGAATTCATGTCCAAACGCCTACTTAGGGTACGCGCTTTGCGCATGTTATAAAGCGCATGTTTCTTATATCAATAAATATATCGTCTTAAAAATAAAATAAAAAAACATTAAGCAAAGTGTTTGAGACACAAAGTAAGTTCATAAAATTGATAGAATGTTAATATCACTTTAGTTAGTTCAATAAAAAGAAGAAATTATGCATCATAGAAGTCCTTAGAATTATGTGAAATATCTTATAAAAATTGTTATTAGTTTTGTATCTAATATCGGAAAAAAAGTAACATGAAAATACTTTTTGCAAATAACACAAATTTAAAAATATAATCTCTTGGTCCTTTTGAGATTTGGGCATGATAGATTTGCCTTATGGCTCTTAGAAAAAAGGTACATGTGACTAAAGTCTAAAAATAATTAATATTAAATTAATATTTTACAGCAAACAACTACATACGCTGAAAAAAATATAGGGAGTCCAATCTGTGGGAATATTTACAAAAGGAAAAAAGAAAAATAACTAATGACAAATCACATAGAATATAATTTGTCTTCTACTGTTTCATTTTTATTGTTTCAAGTTTGCATTTTTACTGATTTGACTCTTAATACACAATACTTGGTTTTACACTATTTCTTATTCTTTCATATATCCTAGTAGTTTTTTCTATTTGGAAAATAATTTTACTTTTATGATAATTTTGGGGGGAAAATTGAATTGCATTCTTTTGCTACTTAGCTAATTTAATTATTTATTTTAAATATTAAAAAAAATATTTTTTCATCAATTAAAAGCTTAATATTAACTCATCCAAAGTTTTAATATTTAGCTATAATCACAATTTGGGATAATTTCGAAAACTTTCTCTGAGATTCTCCTTATAACACAAACTTCTATTGCAGTTTGAGAATTACGCACACCTCTCTTATTTTTATTTTTTTATAACGACACAAAGATGGTAAAATCTAATAACATTTATGTAATGTTAATATTAAATTTAATAACACAAAATTCTTTACATGAGTACAAAATAAAAGTACTTGCACTTCCAAAATGATAAAAACAGGATTACAACTCTTTTATCTTATGTACAAATAATAACCTATTCGATGGTTCATGTTGCATATTTATTTACCTAAATTGAATATTGATAATTAGAAATGAAATAAATCAATCTTCTTTCTATTCGATTGTTCTTTTCAATTTATTTATTAATATTAAAAAATTATTAATGTATGATAAAAATTTAAACCATTGATTTTAATTAAGAATCTAAATACCCGAAATATGTCATATTACAAAAGACAT